ATTCAACTGCGTTTAAAGGCGTGCGATGCATGTTATCTATCATAGACCCTGATTTTTTTAAAAAAGAAAAAAGAAAAAAGAAAAGAGCCATCGCTATCATCCTATCATGACACTGGTCCCCCTAACTTCAGATTGTGATTCTATACGGGGAGAAAGTCCTCTCTTAAACTGAGTTTGTCTACGTGTCAAGCTACCGTCCGTTCGATTTCATCACTGGTAGAAATTTGATATAAACTGTGTGCATTGATCTTAGTTCAGTATGACAAAATATTTTGTGATGCGTTTCGTATTTTAAAATACATTTCAGTTGTATCGAGAATATTAAATTATTTTATGATTTAATTTTATTCTTAAAGTATTAATTTTTAAAAGCAATTATATTTTTAAAATATTATTTCATCAACAATTTTTTTTTTTAAGTGTGGCTTGATGGTGAAAGAATTTCACTTTGTTACATGCCAAAATATGGGTACGACACAGGGCTTGTTCCAATGTAGCTTGGCAGGTTCAAATTGACTTGGACCCTAATAAGCATTTTAAAGTAAAAATTGCACGTATGTCATGGGTTTTGAGGTAAATGAATTTTTTATCAAAAATTATGTTAAAATTGGAACAACTTTTTTTAACCTAGTTTTTAATTTTTTTTTTCTTTTTTATATTTGGACCTTTCCTTTCAAGATGACTTTTTAAAATATTATCGAAACAAATTTTATGTCAAATTGACTTTGTTAATAAAAACCTATCCAAATATAAATAATATTGCATACATTGACTTTAATTATACTTCAATTTTAGTTTATAAAAATTAAGTAGAATAGAAGTTATTTTACCAACGTTAATACAAAGAAAGCCTGTTTGAGTTTTTAACAATCACACCACGATGTTATAAATTGTTATAAATTGAGCCGAAACACATCTAACACCCTGAATTATTTTATTAAATACATTCAATACTCTAAAATATTTTACAATTCATTTAGTACCTTAAAAATACGTTAAAAGCACAATTCAAATTTAAGTCTACATAAATGTATATATTGAATAAAAAAAAGTATTATATATTATTTTCACACCATCCTATTGACTAATGACTCAGCTATCAAAAATCATATCAAGATTAAAAAAAAAAAAAACTATCAAAGTCTTAAAAAGCATACACACGTGCATGCCAATATGTACCCAAGACATGAACATGTTAAGTTATAATACCTCCGTTCCTCAGTATAAGTCATTCTTTTATTTTTATTTTGATCTTAAATATAAGATTCCAATCTATTTTGTCTCTCATATTTATTTACTTTTTTAAAGATAGTCCTTTTAATAATAGTAGTTCTAAATAATAAACTTGATTAGTAAGGATATTTTAAGAAAAACAATATCTATTCATTACAAATAACTAACTTAACTAAATCCCTTATAAGGTATGGACAAGTTATTTATTATTATATTACTTCCTAAATTGTAATTTTATTAACTAAGAGGATTCAATTTAGTCTTGGATTGGAATTATATATAATGATTTGAAATAAAATAATAATATGAAATAAAAATGCGATTGAATTTTAAAGAGTTTTATTATTGAAAGATGATGGACAAATAAATAAATTAGGTTGGTTATTAATTTAATTTAATCGATTGATTAGAATTGGTTTCTGACTTAGTAATTGCGATTAGTTTGAATTAATTTACGTAAGAATTGATATTCATTAAACTTAAAAAATTGTAGGATTTGTAGTAAGAGGGAATAAAGAGGATTTAGTTGGGAACAAATTAGTATTTTTATATTTATACTCCTCTAGTTGTTCTAACATGTCTCATACAAATTAATGAAAATTTTAAATTTCACTAAATTTTTTCACCAAAATTTTTTTTGTTAACTTTTCCTTAAAACATATCAATTTTTTAATTTTACCATATTTATTATATATACATCTTTAAAAAAATAACCACCTACAATATAATAAATAAAGAATAAAATAATATATTCATGCTAAAAATTACATGAAATGACTTATGAATATGATCAAGAAAAATATTTTTCCTCTACTCTATAAATGGAATCAGAGTGTTTTAGTATTTAATCTTTTTAAATAATTACAGTTTAAAATATTTGTCAATAAATACCTTTCTTACTTGGTTTCTTTCTCTAATTTCCCGATCGTAATGTTTACATTTTGATTTGATATGATAAATTTTTTTTAAAAAATTTTTTTTTACCAGTGATAAATTTGGGACTCCACTAAACGGAGCTGTCGCTGGTCACAAAAAAAACCAAAAAAAAAAAAAAAAAAAAGCCGGAGCTGTCCATATCCATATGATTTCGGTTCCCACCACACCTGATAACGCTGCCATCGCCCCAACAAAATCAGGCCCCACTGCGGAACCGTATCATCACAAACTCCCAGAACAGTGGGGCCCACCCTCCTACGTGTTTCATGGGTCAGCTTCTGTAACGACAGACAAAAAATTAACCTCCCCTCCCCCCACGCTCACGCACCTTGCACGTGCGACATCGTTGGCCACTTGGCCCCACCTCTGTCCTTTGCCAGCCGCGGTGGGTCCCACTCAATCCACCCCCGCCACGTTCAGATCTCTTGCCCTCTTTCAGTCTTTCTCTATAATGTAAATAATGACCGAGGGTCCAGGTCCCACAAAAAAAAAAAAAAAAAAAAGGGACCGAGGGCGCCTCTGTCTTGTTAATTGCTAATAACGATAATTTTCTGAACTTATCTAATTTATTTTGGAGGAATTGTTGACATGTGGTGTTCAAAGGACGCGCCACGTCTATTTGTTTACGTGGCAGGGGGAGGCTGCGCGTGGTTCGATGAAGCCCGAAAGTAACCTGAGGCCGGAGGACAATGAACCAGGAACGCCACCAAATGAAAAGGAAGGAACATGCATAGGTGATTTACTTTAACGTCCTTAACATTAATTACAATTACGTGAGGCCCAAGAGACATATATTATAATTATAATATTGGAAATGGAATGATGTAAATCCAGAATTCATCCTTTTTGGTGGTTTTCTTCCTTACCAAGATGCTCCCTTAAAGAATTTAATAGTATGTTAATAAATAAATATTTTGGATATGGGTTGGTAGTGTCAAAAAATATGCAGATATAGTACTTTAAATACATATAACTATTAACAAATAAGTTTGTTATTATCTTCAATCCACTCCATTCTAAAATCCATACTCTCTTTTTTGCTAAATTATCTCTGATAAGTGAGTGTTTATCAAGGGATGATTCTAATATAAATGATTTAAGAATATACGGTAAAAAATTATTATGCATTTTTTTAATATATGAGCAATTTAATTATTTTTTTAATTTTTTAATTAATTATTTAATTCTTTTTGCCCTAATTATTTAATTTTTATATTGAGAAGAAAGGATATTCAATATTCATATTAGGGCTGTGCAAAAACCCGGTGGTCCGGTATGGTTTGGTCCAACCCGAACAAACCCGGTCCAGTCTGGTCCAGAAAAAATTGGCCCGAAACAAGACTGGACCAGACTGGACCGAACTGGTCTCATCGGGCTGGACTGGACTAGGGACTGACCCCTCAGACCAGTTGGTCCAATCCAGTCCGGCCCGATTTTTTTAAATTATTATTTATATAATTTTAATTTGATTTAATTTTTCTATATAAATTTTTTATCTATTCAAATAATTAAGATTTATCTATTAACTTTCGAAGTAATGAGCATGTATATATATTTTCTACAATTTAAGATCTATATTGATGAGAATTAATTAATAAAACATGACTTCATTGGGAAATTGAAAAGGAATGATCAAATTTGATAAATTTTGAATTAAAATATGTGCAAAATTTTATATAGTAAGTTACAATCTTGCCTCCTATTGAAGAAAATTTTTTTTTAAAACAAAAATTAAAATTAGCTCTGGACTGCCTGGACTGGTCCAGGCAGTCCAGAGGACCAAGTCCAGTCCAACCCGACCTCGGGTTGGCACTGGACTGGACCAGACCTCGGGCTGTTTTTTTCAGCCCGAGGTCTTTACTGGACCAGACTTCGGGTTGATAACAAACCCGGTCCAGTCTAGTCCATGCACACCCCTAATTCATATTATGCATCAATGTATATGCACATACAAGATGGTCAAATAAGCAAACTCGTGATACAAATATAAACTTGAATTGTAAACACGTAAAATTTACTTTTATTAACAAATTGGTAATAAAAGTATATAATTAAATTATTAAAATATAAAAATAACAATACTTTTATTTAAATATATTTAAATCCAAATAATTAAATTACATAATCAACTTTCATAATTTACCATATTTAACAAAGAGATATTTATCAAATTCACATAAAAAGTCACTAAATGTATTTAAATCTAGAAAGAATTAATACGATTTTGTAAGTTAAAAATATAAAAACAGTAAACTCAATAAGTTCACCTGAATTTATAGTTACCATGAACTCAATAATAACTCGACATGATTTTATAAATTAAAAAATTAAAAAAAAAGTTAAATGAACTCGATACAATTTTATAAATTAAAACAAAAAAAAAATTAAACTTGAAGAGCCGAGTCACTAGTTTAACAACAATGTGCACAAATATGATACACGAATAAGATCATATCAATTAGGTATCTGATATGACAGTACATTTATTTTTAAAGATTACTGTCCTATTATTAAAAAGAACATCTAATTTATAAAAGATATAACAAATAAATAATTTAAATTCCAAAACGGGAGAAAATAAAAGAAAATGTTAGAAAAGAAATCCGACAAAAACTGCGAACTCAAGATTTTGATTTGAAGTTGTTTTTTTCCCCGTTGTGGAATGATGCGCTAGTAAATACTAACAATGATGCTTATTACGCTTTCTCTCTCTAGGACCACAATCATGCCTTTGACTCTCTCTCCTCTAAAACGCCCCCAACAAAAACCAAAGCCTAAATAAACCCAACCCCCCATCCTCGTTCATTCACACACCCACACCCTCTCTCTCTCTCTCTCTCTCTCTCTCTCTCGCATGCTGTTCATCCTCCTCCCTTCTTTCTCTTTTCTCTGTTTCCAGAACGCAAGCAAAGAAGAAGCAGACTCACTGAAAAGCTTCACGACCTTAACCCTCGTTATTCATGGCAGTTGAATCTCGGCATCTCAATCTCTTCACTTCTCACTTTCTCAATGACAGGTTCTATATATATATATATATACATACACTCATCTCTCTCTGAGTCGATTCTTTCTAGTCTTAATCTTTCCTTACTGATTGATCTGTGTTATTTGACTACTTCAGAGCGAATCTGGTAACCGGTGGAATTCACAATAATGCTCAGATGGATTATTCTGATCTGCCTCTTCCTGCTGTTTCAGCAATGGCGGATCAATCTCTATTTCCGTTTTACCAATCCAATCTTTGTGATCCGAATTTTGCCAAAACCTCCATGAACAATGATGATAGTGGCCTCACCTCCAATTTCTCGTCATCAAGAAAGCGATCCAGAGATGAGTTAATCTCTGAGCTCAGTGATCCCCGCAGCGCCAAATTGCCCTCCATTAATTCGTGGTCGTTTCTCAATCAGGAAGTTCATCTTCAGATCCAGAACCAGCAATCGGAAATCGACCTCCTCATTGCCCAACATGTAATGAATTAATTAATCTCGATGCTGTGTTTTTTTCCTTTTTTACTACTGAAACTGTGGCTCCATTAATTTCTGAAAATTAATGCCTGGTTCTGTGATTTTCGAAACAGACAGGTAAAGTGAGGAGGGAGTTAGAGGAGCAGAGAAGAAGACAACTGATGGTGTTGCATTCAGCAATCGAAGAAGTAGTGATGAAAAAACTGAAGGAAAAAGACGAAGAGATTCAGGAAATAGGGAAATTGAATTGGGCACTTCAAGAAAGAGTCAAAACCCTAACCCAAGAGAACCAAATATGGAAGGAATTAGCAGAAACAAACGAAGCAACCGCCAATTCACTGCGCTGCAACCTGGAACAGATACTGGCGGCCCACGTCAGCGAGGACCACCAACACGACACTGCGGTGGCAGCGGCCGTGGCAGATGATGCAGAGTCGAGCTGCGGAAGCAGTGGTGAGGGGCAGGGGCCGGCAGAGGACACGGCGGTGAGCGGCGGAGGAAGGAGTAGTGAGAGGTTGTGCTGCAAATGTGGTGTGAGGGAATCAATAGTGTTGCTGCTGCCATGCAGGCATCTGAGTTTGTGTACAAAGTGTGGGTCCACAAGTCACCATTGCCCAGTTTGTCATTCTGGAATTAATGGTAGCGTGCATGTCAATTTCTCTTAGGAATTTTATTTATTATTTATTAGGTTTTACAATAATCTATTAGATTATTAGATTAGATTTTTTTGGCCGTCAGATAGTTGGAGAAAACAGCCTGTTTCTTCCCGATCCTTAATATGTTTATAGAACAAAGTTAGAAATAGAAAAAAAAAATCAATTTGGAGGTGTTTGGGTAATCCAATAAGTACTTTTCAGAAATACTTTTTCGCAAATCGAAACAAACTGCTCCACATATTTACCTCGTATACCGTAAAAGCACTTTTGAAACTATGGTTTTGATCTTATCCAAACACCCTTTTAATGAGATTGTTGTAAATGGGAAACAAATAACATTGTTATTCAGATTTTTCTTCTTATTGAAATAGAATATGAAGAAAATTTTGAGAATGTAATAATTTGGACATTCAATTAAAGGTTCAAAAAATTGAGAGGCAATAGGAAAAGCATACAATGAAAATAAAGTGGGAGTAATGTCTTTACTCAAAAAAAAAAAAAGTGGGAGTAATGTGAAAAAGGCATGATGGCGTACGAGACTCACAAAGGGTAAACCTACGTCACAATACCATCATTGTTTCTTGTGCCAGACCCACTATGCTCCCTTACTGCACGTCTGCACCGCCTTGGGATGCTCTCAAAAAAAATTTTAATTTATTTTATTATGTTCCATCATGGTCAATATTTAATGGAAACAATTTCACAGCGTAGTTCAAATGTTTTTGTGAGAATTTTTCTTATTTAATATTGTTCTCGTAATATGAAATATAAAATTTGTATAAAACATTCTATATACTACGTATATTGCCATCAATATAAATATATTCATATATTTATAAAATTTTATGTAATATGTATTTTTTTTTAAAATCATTACTTGACATGGACATATTGAGACTTGAGATATACTCATCTAAACATGTTTATAGGATATTTTTATATGTAATTTAATAAAATTTTTAATTTTTTAAATTAATTAATTGAGTCTTATATTAAAGATTGGACTAAATTACTTAATCATAGTATATGTTATATGATCTCTTTAAAATAATTACGTGCATTATTGGGTTATATATCAATTTATAAGAGTAGCGAATGAATTTGGAAAAAAACAATAAATATAAATACCTTAAGATAAATTTATTAACTTTCTTAGTTTTTTCAAATAAATTAATTGGATATTATATTAAGAACTAATGTGTGGTATATACCCAGATTTTCTGGTCCATGAGATACTCCTTCCTTGCTTGTTGAAAAAAAAAAAAAAAAACACCCTTCCTTGCGTAGCATCTGCTCTCCGCGCCTCATGTTTTTTTTTTCCTTTATTTCAGAATTAAGGATATTTTTGTCATTCTATATTTAAATTTATTTTCATTTCAGTACTTAAGGCTTGAACTGAGGTTTCAAAATTTATTGGTCCTTCTTTTAAAATAAAATGCTGCAACGGTCTTTTAATGAAATTCTCCCTTACTTTTATTAAGTATAGTCAAAACTTATTAAAATATAGAAAATAAAACTGATTTAGGCTTTGGTATTTTTCAAGTCTTTTTGTGAGATTTTTCTTATTTAATATTGTTCTTGTAATATGAAATACAAAATTTGTATGAAACATTCTATACACTACGTATATTGCCATCAATATAAGTATATTCATACATTTATAAAATTTTATGTAAATATGTATTAATTGACGTGGAGATAATGAGACTTGAGATATACTCATATGATCCTTAGGACATTTTCATATATTTTATATAAATCAAGAAAAACTTTAACTTACATTAAGTTTGCATTAAAATATTGTAATTTTTTAACTTTACTCCTATTTAATTTATATCCTTCTAAAAAACACAATTTACACTATAATAAATTAAGAATAAGATCGATAAAAAAAACCTTCTCTTTGTCTTATGAATACAATCTAAGGAGTAGATGACCATCATAATAAAAAAAGAAATAAAGATACAAATACTACTAGAAAAACCCCTTTTTTACACCCCCTTCTCTAGCCCTGTTCTTGTGCCAATGATGTAACAAATGAGGTGGTGGTAATTTTGTAAATAATGATTACAATATTTACTTTGGTTATGAGCGCGACTACTGTAATCTTTATTATTTACAACGGACATTAACCCAACTAATGAAACTTATCTTTCAAAACAACAGTTATTATAAACAACCTGTGTTTGAACTGAATAGACAAGCATCTTTCATTTTTTTTTTCCTTGAAGTGATATGTCTGACTGGTAAGGTCACCATGTCCTCTCACCATCTATTTAACATTAGAACCCAAATCTTCTTCCCTATCATTGTCATTGTATTCAACTGCCGGCATCCCCACAATGATGATACAGTAGAGAACAGTCACACCTCCTTCTATATCTCATTATACATTAATTGGAACTATTATAACGCATTTCTAAATGTTTCCGGGTGAAAAATTTCAACTTCAAAATTTTACATTTAATTCTATTCGTATACTGTTCATCCAAAATTGGGTCAACTTTGAAAATTCATAACTAATTCTAAAAAAATCAAAACAAGGTGGTTCTAATTTTTATGCAAAGCTTGCTAAGAGTTCTATAGAGAAAAAAAATACTCATTGAACTCAATTCCATCTAGAACAATACCAGAAAATTCGACAAAATGTACTGTTTATATGGTCAATTTTTGAATTTTCAAGATTTTAGCCCAACTTTGGAAGGGCATAACTCTTAGCACAAAACTCTAATTTTAATGGTTTACCACTTGTTTTAAAGCTAGAAATGAGATCTATAATCTTGTAAAATTTCATGCCCAAATTTTAACAATTGCTTATTATTTTATGCGTCACAAATTTAGCCTCTTTTAGGGTATTTTTATCCCCAAACTCCACTTTCTTGAATTTATTTCCTTTTTTCCTCTTTCCACTTTTTTTTGGCATTATACCATTCAAATTCCCAGCATTAGGGCATGTCATATAGATCTAATTTACATCATATTATCCTTCATAATCCATTACAAACTTAATATAAAGTTTGATAACACATTACATAATAGTCCAAGTTAACATAATATTCACAATACTCTTTCATCCTAGCACCAATTTCTTGCCGTGATTCACAGATGAGCCATTCTCTATTTGAGATATAATTTAGCATAGAAGGAATGAGATTTTATAGGAACTCAGTAGCAATTGAATTATAATTATCATGCAAATTAAGCAAGTTACAGTGTGACATGTTATAGAACTTTAAGACATTATCAAGTCACATAAAATCATGCTTAGTCTCGTGCTAGGAGAGGATCATCAAAAAATTAATTTCTCTTCATGATAATTCAACCTTTAAAATGAGAACATGATCAGAAAATTTTCAGAATTTTTCACCATCTCTAGGTATTTATTTTGAATTTTCTCCGATTAGGCCTTTATCAGTGTCACTGCGGGAAAATAAATTTTCTAAAATTAATTCCTGAACTTCCAAGGCCTAAAACTAATTTTATAAATTCAAATAAATATTTATATGATTTATCCATCTTTTTTTTTAAATTTATTGAGGTCCCTAACTAATTAAAATAATTATTTTTCTCTGATTTTCAAATATTTTCCTGAAAACCTTCGTTTATGGGAAATTCTGCAATAATTTATTTTCACCATAATTCTACTTTTTGAGTCTCAACCGAATTTCCAAAACCTCTAATTTATACTTTTCTTATTTTTCAAGAATTTTCTAGAATTTGTCTCAAATTTTTCCATTTTGCCCTTCCTAGACCAATAATTACGAAAATGCCAGCTCGGACCTTATCGGGGTTTCACATCAAAAGTTATTTCATCTCCCTATCTAGTTCCTATGTTGACCCTCATCCCAATTTTAATTCCATATATCCAGGTGAAATTTTTTAGGATGTGATAAGAACTTTCCCGGTGCATCCTCTATTCTCTCCTCCCCTACCTCCCCCTCCCCTCCCACCCCCTCCCCTCTTTCTCCACCTCTATTTCCACTTCCTCCCCCTCCCTTGTTCAACCAGCTACTGACAAAAGTAACTGCGATTGAGTGCAGCCTCCGTCATGTGGTCTCTCACTTCTACACCCTTAACGACAAAGTGAACCTTATACTCAAAGACTAAGACATTGAGTATGATGTTTTGGATGACCCTTTAGCTGCTTCCTCCTCTTCCTCCTTTGATAAAGACCCTTTCTCCTCTTCTTCCTTTAGCTAATGAGGAATACGAGTTGTTTTTTTTTGTTTTGTAAAAAAATGTCATCTGTTTTTATTTTGAAATATTTTGTAAGGGCCTATACGCCCCCAATCTCATATATAATATATATAGCTATTTTGTGATTTGATTTGTCCATTTTGTTTCTAGTTATTGTCATTTTTTTTTGCATTTTTCTGATGTTTAACTCTGGTAATAGCGAATCCTAAACTTTTGCTGGTTTAAAGAACATGAACTGGTAATTTTTTGGGTTTTGTTTGAATAAAATAAAATTGACACCGGTTGTAGTAAAAACTAATTTAGTAATAAACATTTACATCAGCTTAATGCAACACTAGTCTCTTAGTATAACTAGGGTAAATCTTTTACCCTAGCTATACAAGGACTGTCTCGTGCTTAGTTTCACGGCCTCAAAAAACACTCTCAGTGTGTGCTCTCTTGTCGTGAGCTATGGCGGGACATTGTGGAGTACTTACGACATCTCTTCTATTGCCATTGTCGTTGCTGTCTTTCCCCATTGCTGTCACTATTCTATTTTCGTAGTAGGTAACATGTTTATCATTTCATTTCTCCCTTAAGCTATTCACCTAAGCCCTAATATCCATGCTCATTCTGTTTGAGATCTTCATCATGGTCATAAATGTCATGAGGGTTTTCCCATCAACATTGTCGGGTTTTCACTCTCGACTAGGGATGGAAACAGGCCAGGCCAGGCCATCATCTTAACAGGATCAGCCTGATTTGTAACAAATAGGCCTGAGCCTGGCCTGTAGCCTGTTAAAGGCTTCTCATTTAGCCTAAGCCTGGCTTATATAAAGGCCTGGCCTGAAGCCTGTTAACAGGCCTGTATCTTTTAAAAATCTATAAACAGGCTAACAGGCCTAACAAAACACAGGCTTAGGCCTTTAAACAGGCCGAGAATAGGCCTTAACAGAATACAGGCTTATGCCTTTAAACAGGCCG